GGGGGGGGGGGGGGGGGGGGGGAGGGGAGGGACGGGCTGGACCCGCTGAAACAAAGCGGAAGTCAACAGGAAGCGTGAGAATCACCTTTTGACAGAGGCACACGGGCACAGGAAGTGGGTTGTGGCCTGAAGGCTGGGGCCTGGCATCTGGAAGTGACCTTCCACCTTCCCTGGCCTCTGAGGAAGGGAAGAGAGAGATCAAGCCTCGCTTACCTCCTCGGCCACACTTTTTCACGGCTCCCCATTTTCACTACGCACGCATGCATGCCCCCGTCCCCGTGTTTGGACGGACCGGAAGGGCAGGGGAAAGGCTGTCACTCACTAAGGACGGGAGACGCGCAGAACACGGGAGAGGGTGAAGTCAGACTTGGGGGTCCGAGTCTCACTTTCCCCATCTACGAAATGGGGGTGATTCCAGCGCTGGCCTCACAGGTCATGTGTGCAGCAGGCTTCACGTAGGTCCCCTGGAGTCCCTTCAGTGGGTGCTGGTGTCCTCCCTCCTCTCTGCCTCTCCAGACCTGCCCCCACTCCTCAATCATGACCAGATCAGACCACCCCTGGTCTGGGGACTCACCCTGAACGCTGCCTGCAGGCCTCACGTATCATTTAGTCGCACCATATGGGAGAAGCACTTTTTTTTTTTTAATTGTTTATGTATTTGTTTTGAGACAGAGAGAGAGAGAGCAGGGGAGGGGCAGAGAGACTGAGAATCCCAAGCGGGCTCTGTGCTGTCAGCGCAGAGCCCAACAGGGGGCTCAGTCTCGCAAACCGTGGTATCATGACCTGAGCCAAAATCAAGAATCCGATGCTCAACCGAATGAGCCACCCAGATGCCCCTCTGCATCATTTTTAAGAATCACTACTGAGGCCCTATACTGACCATTCCTTTCCCGGGGTGATGTGTGACCTCCCCGGGGTCACCCAGTGAGGGTAGAGGCTGCATGGATCTGTCTCTGTATCCCCAGGAACATTCAGCAGAACGCTAGAAGTTAATCCATAAGTGTCGCGAATCTTCCAGATGCTATGGAAACACCACCGTATTTAAAGTGCGCAGGTAAACTCAGGAGCCTGGGCTGAGGACCCCACACCAGTGGGCAGGAGGCTGTGGCAAAGCCCTACATGAGGGCAGGACCAGGGCAAGCCTTGGCTCCTCTTAGCGCCTCTCTCACAACCCCCGAAAGCCCTAAAGATGTGAAATGGGCAATAAACCAAAGCTTGATGTGCCAGGAAGCCTAGCTCCTACCCACCCTATCCATTTCCAGAAGGATCCCTGCTGAGCCCGAAGTAATGCTCAAATCCCCCTCAAAAGCAATTCTTAGACTTGTCACCAGATCAGGAGACCAGCCCTCCTCCCAGCTCTCTGTCCTCACCTCCCAAAACTCCTTCTTTTCAGATGATGACACCTTCTTCAAGATTACTCCCTCCAATGTACCAGTCCCCAGGGTGCCCACCTAGCTTATTCTTTTTTTAAAGTTTATTTATCTTTGAGAGGGAAAGAGAGACAAAGCAGAAGCAGGGGAGGGGCAGAGAGATAAGGAGACACAGAATCTGAAGAAGGCTCCAGGCTCCGAGCAAGTGTTCAGCACAGAGCCCGACATGGGGCTCGAACCCACGAACCGTGAGATCATGACCTGAGCCAAAGTCAGTCACTTAACCAACTGAGCCACCCAGGCACCCCTCTTCCCACTTTTTTAAGTTGCTATTTTTAAATAATCTCTCCGCCCAACATGGGACTTGAACTTCCAACCCTGAGATCAAGAGTTGCGTGCTCTTCCGGCTGAGCCAGCCAAGCACCCCTCTTCCCATCGTACAGACGAGGAAACTGAGACCCAAAGAGGCCACACAGCTTGCCTAAGGTCACACAGTAAGTGGACTCACACTCAAACTTGCGTTGCAGACATTTCAATGACAAAATAAAACAAATAAAATCTTAAATTAAAAAAAAAAAAACTTGTATTTTCACGAGGGAACCCGTTAGTTGGTTTATCAAAGTTTTCAACCCACAGCGCTCTAAATTGAACAGATGGCACTATACAGCCACAGAGAAAGCAAACATATAGGGGGGGGGAAAAACAACAACACCCTTACAGGGTTCTTGATCTTGGGGGATTCACCGCTGGAGGAAGCACAGAGCCAA